CCAATTAAAACAGGTGCTGTTTTATCTGTGGAGCAGTTTAAGCTGCTTTTAGTTCCTGGGGCTCTTTGTGAGTTGAAACTGCAGTTGTGGGAACGTAGCACTGACATCAGGCCAGAACATAGAATCGCTTCACTGCTTGCAAGAAGTAAATCCGAGGAATATCTTGAAATCGTACCACTGGCCTTTCACATGTGAAATTTTTCTTCTGATTTTGTAGGATCCTTGGGAGACATCTGAAGCAATTAGTAGTTTTTGTGCAGGTTTTTTTCAAGATAGGGTCTCAAGAACTATTTGCTTTGGCTGGCTTCAAACCTCAATCCTCCTGATTTTCTGCATCCTGAGTAGCTAGGTTATAGGTATGAAACACTGGCACATGACTTCTCTGAATCCTCTTAAATTCTTTCCTTTGTGACCTTTAGTAAGCTTGTTAAAAGGCTGAAAGGAGAGTCAACCTTTTTATTGAGCCACCTACTGTGTGCACCAGGTGTTCTAGGTGTTTTGACTGTATCAAGTGCTTCCTGACTTACGATGGTGCGTATGTCATAATAAACACATTGTAAGTTTGATAATGCCAATAAGTCAAAATACATTTTAATATACCTAACCTGCCAAACATATAGCATAGCCACACAGCATGCTACAGGGTATTGGTTGTTTGCCCTCATGGTCATGCTGCCTCCCAATGTTGTTAAGAATGTATTGTCCAACATATCACTAGCTAAGTAAAGATCAAAACTTGAAGTGTAATCTCTGTTGAATGCAGGTCACTTTAGCGACATTATAAAGTTAAAAAATTTAGAATCAAACCAAGGTAAGTTGGTGACTTTCTATTTAATAATCAACAGCCTTATGAGGTGTAATTTCAGGTGAGCAAATTAAACCTGAGAGAAGCTAAGTAACTTTCTTCTAACCCAGGTTTCTCCGTGTTAATTATAAAGCTGTGTAGTGATGATTTTCTCTCAGACCTGAAAACATAGTTTTGTCTTTCCCTTTGCTTTATAGTGTTGGCTCCCATTTTGTCATTCTTCCAGTGAAAGGTAAATAGATAGATAGCCTAACATTGGATTGTTGTGAGATTCTGAACCCTAACCATAGTGTTATTGACTTCTCCTAGGATCCTATCCTTCCCCCAAAGCTGGAGCAACTCTGGTTGTGTACAAGGATTTGCTAGTGCTCTTTGGAGGCTGGACGCGGCCAAGCCCTTATCCCTTACACCAACCAGAGAGATTCTTTGATGAAATACACACTTATTCACCATCTAAAAACTGGTAGGTCATAAAGATCTTTTAAATATGGAAGAAGTTTTTTGCTTTTTTTTTTTTTTAAGACAAAGCTGGCCTCAAACTCATTCATTATCTTTCTGCCTCAGCCTCCAAAATTCTGGGACTATAGGTGTGGATCACCATTCCTGACTTAATAAAAGGGTTTTTTTCCTTTAACATTTTTATAAACATATTAGTTATACAGGGGTAATTCATTTTGACAGTTCTGTATATGCTCCTTGGTTTCGGTTCACCTCCATAATAAAAGGTTTTAAATCAAAGGATTTTCTTTTATCTTTTTTGGTCAAGAATCCCTTGGAGAAATTTTTTTTTTTTTTTTTTTTTTTGGGTTTGAACTCAGGGCCTCACACTTCCTAGCCAGGCACTCTACCCCTTGATCTACTCTGTCAGCTCTTTTTTGTGTTGGGTATTTTCAAGGTAGGGTCTCCTGAACTAGTTTCCTAGGCTGGCTTCTAACTGATCCTCCTGATCTCTGCCTCCCTAGTAGGTAGGGTTACAGGTGTGAGCCACTGGCACCTGATCTCTTGGAGAATTTGATGAAGAGCTATGGATTCTTTTCCGGTTGGGGGACGTTTACCCAGATTTTGGCTACAGAGGGCTTACAGGACCCTAAGTTTAAGAACCCCTTTTCCAAAGAGAAAAAGTAGAAGAGAGCCAATTAAAAAAGAGGGAGCTCTTCAGCTTTGGCAGCTGATTTCCCAGAAAATATAGTTCCAAATGATTCTTTATGCTCTGCCATGTCCCCATAACAACTCTCAGTTGTTTTTTAAACATGTTTTTCCAAATGCCAACAACCCCTGCTCCTTGTAATTGGATACTTAGTACATGCCTCTTGGCAGCTGGTACTGATTAAGACCATAGAAAGAAGTGACAGGTGATGCTCTTCAGCAAGTCAGGCTAAAGAGGCCACCAAGTCATGATCTTGTCCCTTGCCATGATCTCCAGACCACTCATAACGAGAACTTGAAAGTGACTGTAACTTTAAGGATCTGTAGGAAGGGCATAAATATCTTGTGCTGTCCTCCCTTTCTTGTTCCATTAATATCTCTGCTGAGAAAGGTGTTGGGGTTGTCATTCTAAATGGATACCTACTGAACCATTTTTTTTTTTTTTTTTTGCCTTAAGCCTGTGAAATCAGAAGCAGATGATGCTGACTTTTTGGCTTCCTCCTGTCTGTTTACATTAGGTGGAATTGCATTGTAACGACCATGGGCCACCTCCTATGGCTGGCCACTCTTCCTGTGTGATAGATGATAAAATGATTGTCTTTGGTGGCTCTTTAGGATCCCGGCAAATGTAAGTATATTTGATTTGCTTCATTTTAACCTGAAGGTAGTTACTAGTGGGCATAATAGGTCAAAAAAGTGAACTAGTCAGGGCCGGTATTTTTGAGCCTGGTTCTAGTTAATCCAATTAGTTATTTCACCTCATACTCAGTTTTTTGGTCCTCTAGTCACAGACCAGTAAGTTGAAAAACTTGCTTCTTAAAATCAAGGTTATGTAGAATCTCTTTCTGTTGAAGTGTGATAGGATCAAGTTCAGGTGGAGTCTGTACCTAAATAAGGTATAGTAAATAACTATACAGAAAGCCACCTTTCAAGAGGCAGGGTGCTTTATTACCCAGCTCGGGCCCTTTGGGAAAAGAAGAGAGGTAGGTAGAGTGACAGGACAGTTAGCAATTGATGTATTGGGAGAGTGGATTAGAAGCAAGAAAACTGCCTCTAGTCATAACTGACCAGCTCAGTCCAGAGTCAAGAGCCAGAGCAGTTCATTTGCATCATTGGCTGTCTGTCTGGTCAGCAGCAGCCACAGAAGTGCTCATTTCTCCCATGCTCTGGAATGAGTCAGTGAGCTGTTGGCAGTAAAGTCATTGCAGACCCAAGCCTGTCCTCTCTGGCAAAGTAGCCACGACCTTCACATTTTAGAACAGTTAGGGAGAGAGATGAGAGGAACTTCCCTCCAGATGAGAGGGTTTAGGGTTTAAGTTTGGGAGCTCTTATTCCTGTATGAGGTATGTGAACAGAGGACTTCAAAAGAGGTGTTCATAAAATAGAGACTGCTATCCAGGAGTCTGTCCTCGTAATGCCATATTGAGAGTTGGAGATTTGGAGATGCCAGTTGGTCCTTGATAAAACTGCAGCTTTCCTTAGCCATTGTGAAATTTTTGGAGTTTGAATCAATAAAGCTTTTAACTCCTAGACAATGACAGAGCTTCCTTTTGAGTCATTTTTTCTCTTCTTTGTGGTTTTTGCTTTTGAAAGATGGTTGCTTAATCCATAGCTCCTTCCGGCTTATAACTGGTACTTTGGATAGTAGTGTATGGCTACAAACAGAACTCAGGCGAGGGCTCATGGTCATGGAAAGAACAAAGATTTGAAGGTCTTAAGAGGAGTTTTAGGGAAAACAGTGGTATAGAAATATAGCTTCAGCGCTAGGTATGAGCATGGAGCTTTTCTGGGCATATTTATAAATGTGACTTTATGTCAGTTCTTTAGAGTATCTTTTCAAATATATCTATTTGATAGATAAGGAACCCAAAGTTGGAGAAAATTAGCTTCTTATTTAGGCTGCAGAGCTGGGATTTAGCATAGTTTTTCTGGCTTTGAAGCATCTGAACTCTGAGGAGTCCATTTCTGAAGCCTCTTCTAGTCTGTGTGTATGTGAAAGTGGTGTAGTTTCCCAGGCAGGCATAAGCATATAGAACTCCCCAGCCACTATTGTGGTCCCTGGGAGTTCCCTATTTCCTCATTCTTCTGTCCTTATCTCACAGGAGCAACGATGTCTGGGTCCTTGACCTTGAACAGTGGGCATGGTCCAAACCGAACATCTCCGGTCCCAGTCCTCATCCCCGAGGTGGCCAATCTCAGGTGCTCAGGAATTAAAATAACTATTCAGCAAACACTGTAGCATCTTTCAGTTAGGACGGGAGAGGGAGGAGGGAGTCAGGTAAGATGCTAGTGTGCACTAAGCCAAAGATAATTTATCATTCTTTTTTGCTGCTATTTATTTTATATCTTCTAATGGGTCATATTATTTATAGTGGCTTTAGTAGTATGCCTCTCTTCAAAGCATTTACTTAGAAATTTCATTTCTTAAGAGAATCCTGTATTTTATGAAGTTGATATTCTCATGTTAATAGTTTATTAAATAAGAATGTATATTTAAGCGAATCATTAGTAATTTGTTCAAAAGGATTAGAATTGACATGGTTTGGGGAGAATGAAGACTTTATGGTAACTAGAACACTCTGGGAGCTGGGTATTCTATTTTTATATTATCACTGAAGCATAGGAGTCAGATGTCTATATCTTTGTAGGTTTATTTTAAATTTTTTTTCCCTCCCTAGATTGTCATAGATGATACAACTATCTTGATTCTTGGAGGGTGTGGCGGTCCCAATGCTGTGAGTATTGCTGTGTGACATTCTCATGCATGTGCTCCTGAGTGCTCAAAACTTGCTTTCCTTGTCGTACTTAGTAAGCGTAGACAGCACTGTTCCATGGCATTTTTTATTTAGAGAATGTCTTTTCTACCTTGGGTATATAGCCGTGGTATTATCTGGCTTTTTCTTCACTTTTTGGGGGGTGGACAATGCTTTTAACCAAAGACGCTTGTCTGTTGAATATTCATATCTATCTTTTTCCTATTTCTATTTCCTCTTTAAGCCATAAGGTTTGGTGTTATCATTCTTTCAAAGGAGAGGCGGGCAGGGGGCAGTGGGATAAAAGCAGATTGATAACTGACTCACACCTGTAATCCTAAGTACTCAGGTGACAGAGATCAGCAAGATCGAGGTTCAGAGTCAGCCCCAGCAAACAATTTGTGAGATCCTCTCAATAATATCCAACACAATGAAAAGGGCTGGGGCAGTAGCTCAAGCAATAAGAGTATCTGCCTGGCAAGTGTAAGGCCCTGAGTTCAAACCCCAGTGCCACCAAAAAAATAAAGATTCAGAAAGTTAAGGTTATTATTATTATCTTCCTCACAATCCAACACACACACACAGACACACACAACCATGGACAAAACCAGTTACAGTTGATTCATGGGTTATAAGTACAATTCCATGTGCCAGCACACATAATCAATGGTGACATATGAATGAATGAATCAGCCACAACTGAATGAGGAACTGAGAGCTGTGATCTCTCTGAAGAGCCCACATAGCCCAGCTTCAAAACTGAAGCTCTTGTATGCACTGCCCCACCTGAGTCCTGTTGTCCATCCTTTTCTTGCAGCTGTTCAAGGATGCTTGGTTGCTGCATATGCACTCAGGTCCTTGGGCCTGGCAGCCACTCAAAGTAGAAAATGAAGATCATGGGGCCCCAGAATTGTGGTGTCATCCAGCCTGCCGGGTAAGTAGGGAACTCACAGGCCAGCAAAAGAGGTCCTAAACTGGAAAACCAAATTAATTTGTCAAATTTGAAAGGAAATTTGTACAGAAATAGAATGTTTTGGTGTCACAAGAAGTGGATATTAACCACTTACTGTGGCATTTCTGACGTATATGAGCTACTAGATGGGAAAACTTATGTGGGCTTCATTTACCCTTAAGTCCTTATAGGAGCTTTTTGTCTATCAAATGTTTTCCAGAGTCCCTCAGACAAAAACAGAATCCTCCCTTTACTCTGCCCCTATTCTGTAGACATAACTAATGGCAGCACTTGTCATACTCGGGCAGCAGTTGTTCCTGTATCTGTCTGCCCGTCTAGCCTAGAGAATAGACTGTCTCATTTTCATCTCTGTATATCAGGCCTACAAAATGCCTGGCACATTCCAGATGATTCTGTTCAGATGTTTTATAATTGAATGAATGATCAGAATTGTAGAAGAGGCTGTGAGCACAGGTCCTTTGTCTTCCAGGTGGGACAGTGTGTAGTGGTCTTCAGCCAGGCTCCTAGTGGGAGAGCCCCCCTCAGCCCCAGTTTGAACTCTCGCCCATCACCTATCAGTGCCACTCCTCCAGCTCTGGTTCCTGAGACGCGAGAGTACCGCTCCCAGTCTCCAGTGAGGAATATGGATGAAGCTCCATGTGTTAATGGCCGCTGGGGAACACTGAGGCCCAGGGCTCAAAGGCAGACTCCCTCAGGTTCCCGGGAAGGGAGCCTCTCCCCAGCCAGAGGAGATGGCTCCCCTATCCTCAATGGTGGGAGTTTGTCTCCAGGAACAGCAGCTGTTGGTGGCACTTCCTTGGACAGTCCTGTGCAGGCCATATCTCCAGGTACTCCATCTGCCTCTGAAGGATATGACCTAAAAATGGGACTTTCTTTGCCCCCACGGCGAGGCTCGCTACCAGATCAGAAGGATCTGAGATTAGGGTCAATAGATCTGAATTGGGACCTGAAACCTGCTTCCAGTAGCAATCATTTGGATGGTCTGGACAGCAGGACAGTCGGGGGAATCTGAGACACCCTCCAGAACAGACCAATGGTGTACATACGCCACCTCACGTGGCCAGTGCCCTGACTGGGGCTGTGTCCCCCGGTGCCCTGCGTCGGAGTCTGGAAGCCATCAAAGCAATGTCATCTAAAGGCCCTCCAGCCTCTGCAGCACTAAGTCCTCCTCTTGGGTCTTCTCCAGGCTCCCCTGGGAGCCAGAACCTGAGCAGTGGAGAAACGGTGCCCATCCCTCGCCCAGGGCCAGCTCAAGGTGATGGCCATTCCTTACCTCCTATTGCCCGCCGCCTGGGCCACCACCCTCCACAGTCCCTCAATGTTGGCAAACCCCTGTATCAGAGTATGAACTGCAAGCCCATGCAGATGTATGTGCTGGACATTAAAGACACCAAGGAAAAGGGACGAGTCAAATGGAAAGTATTTAATAGTAGTTCTGTGGTCGGACCTCCTGAAACCAGCCTGCATACAGTGGTGCAAGGCAGGGGTGAGCTGATCATATTCGGAGGACTCATGGACAAGAAGCAGAATGTGAAGTACTATCCAAAAACAAACGCCCTGTACTTTGTGAGAGCAAAGAGATAATGTGCTCAAAACCCCTTTCCCTTTCTTTGACTTTTAATTCAGAATTTTCCAGTGTGCAAGCATTTGGACTGAGAATTGGGAAAACTACAGCATTCCTCCCATATACCAAAACTAAACTCTGATTTCCCAACCTAACTCACTTAAGGCTGGGATCAAATCTCCATTAAGAAAAATTATATATAAATATAAATATATATATATATATATATATTATATCGCCAACTCTGTTTACAAAAAGGGAGAGGTTTCCATCCTGGTTCAGATAAAATTATTGCTGTGTTTTAGTAGAGACTGTGCTGCCTTTTTCTACTTTGCTGGTAACTAGACCAAGAAATTAGGGAACAGACTAACAGCAGTAACTTTCCAAAAGAAACTGAAGAGCCCCCTATAAATCTTATGTGGCCTTTTCAGAAAACGGACAGGCTTAGCTAAGATGCAAAGGAGGAAGCATCAGACCCCGTGCTGCAGGGTAAAAGTAACTTGAAGAAAACCGTCCTTCCCCTTCTCTTTAAAACCACAAAGGACCTGCCACAGCTCTGCAGGTGTGCCTGTGCCTGCTTCCTTCTGCCCTCTGTGACTGCAGGAAATCACCCAAGAGATTTTGTCCACACATGCCAGGATCATGGTGAAATAGTGTTTGTGGAGTTGACATCTGCCTCCCTATTGTCCATTGGTCTTTTGAGTGCTCCCTACATATCTCAGAAAACATTTGGTATCTGATTGTGGAATTTTCTGACAATCGCCTTTGGTTGCAAGTTGCCAAAAAGCATATTTGTTCTCCTTTTCCTTTTAGAATTGGTCCTCAGAGGCTGCTTTTGCCTTTTCCATTTTTAGACTGCATGTCCCCCTACCTGTCCCATGTTGGGTTGTTTTTCGTTGTTGTTTGTGTATGGATTTTTTTAAGCCCTGAAACTTTTTCTCACTTTCTTTTACAAAACTCAGGTGTCTACAGAAATCAGATGCTTGTTAGAAATGTTTTTGGAACCCTTTCCTTGGTATTACTTGGGACCTAGTAGGAATCCTAAATGACAGTATTGTGGGAAAAAAATCCCTGCATCAAAAGACATTTTTTTCCTCTGTGAACTTCAAACCACCCCCTCCCCAGACATTTACTAGTGTATTTGCTTTGTTTCATAAGCCTGTGGGCTTTTTATTTCTAATTTACATGAGGCAAACTCAGTGTAGAATGTAGAAATTGATCCTGGATAGGAATCATGATAACAGTTCTTTCCAGAATTTTTTTTCTCTTGTGACTTGTGATCTTCCGCCTTGACAGGTGACTAGGTCGAGTGTCTGTACTTGATCTTCATGACACATGGCTGACCTGGGGAGCAGCTCCATCCTTTGTGCTTGTTTTGTTCATGTGTCACCCAAGCAAGGCTTGGGTTTTTATTTTCACTTCTTTTCTCAGATAAAGTAGAACATTTCTTTGGTTAAGATAGAAAGTTACAAGGCACTAGTCTCTAAACTGTGGCCTGGTCATAGGGATGTCAAAATAAGTTTACGTCAAATGGCACCATTTAAATACAGATTTTTAGTGATTTTTCATCATTGGATAGAGGACTTTTATTTTTGTTTTGCCTTTAAGAGTTCAATATCAAATTATCATGTTTCCCAGCCCCACGCTCCCCTCTTCTTAACATCTCCCCTTAGGCACATGCTCACCACAGCTGGTCCCGGGTCCTGGCTCAGCCAGCACTTCAAAGTCTGTCTGATAAGTGTGTGTCCTCTATTACATCATGCCTAATCTTTCCTCTAGAAATTAGCTTTCCCATCATGGTCTTGGTAAGAAAACCCCCTGCTGCCAAGCCCAGGAGAGACCTCGCTTGTGGAGAGGGGTACATGCTCCAGAAACTGCTTCTCATGCTCCCTCAGATGAGGAAACATCCAGGTGCCTACTCCCCATGGTGTTCCACTGCTCAAAGACATGAGCTTGGCTTTTCAGACTCCCTGCTCTGTGGCTGTTACCAATCCTTCTTTGGCCAAGACTGTTCAATTCTGTGGGGTCCTGATTACAAGGTGAAGCCAGCCCAGAGATGAACAATTTCAGCATCATTGCTGTTGCTGAGCTTTGTTTGCAGGGCCCTTGTGTTTGTGCATGGATAGTGTACCTCCAGACTTGGTTTCTACTTAAACACACAGTATTTGGAAGCCTGAAAGTTCAGAATCGCCACTTTCATCTTTCCCTTTGTCCTATGGCCTTCCTAAGCCAGCTATTACCTATTGATTCCTTGTACTTTTCCCATGTAGGCAGGCAGCAGAAACGTTGATTCTTTTAGTAGAGAGCAAGCCATTTCTAAACTCCGTGGCATCCCAGTATTAACCACACCGCTGGGAACCAGACTCCGTTTACAGACCTTTGAGAAAAATTAAAATGGGTCTGGTCTTCACACAGTGGTGCAGGTCTCAGTGGCTCCTGGGCACTTTGGACCTGTACTGTGGGAAGGTGAGTGGACATAGTCAAGGTGATTGTCTCCTCAGGCCCTTGTGAGACCACAGGCGTCTCAGCTGAGGTGAGCATTCCTCCAGCACCATCAGAGAAGGTTTTACCACAACTCCATTTTTGATGTGATACTAATTTTGTCCTAAAGTTCACTGAGAGACATGAGACAAAATGTTTTTTTAAACCCTCACGAGCACCTAAAGCAAATACTTATCAGTGTTTAAATACATCTTGTCTCTACTTGAGCTTTAACCCTTCCGTTCCTCAAGTGTGCCTTTGAGCTGCTGGGTCGTACTGACTCCTCCAGTCACCTCGTTGACTGCCAGGTAAGAATTTTAGTCTCTTCTACCCTCTTGGACAGAGCTTCCTGTTTCTCATTTCACACATCGTGCAGCAGAGTGCAATCTGTATTTTCATTCTTTTATCCACCCTTCTTCCACACTTGGGTGGTAGGTAGGCTCCACAACCCATCTCCTTCCCATTTTGGGACCACTAATTGGGTATCAAAACAACCTTAAATTTCGTTTTAAAGAGTATTGAGCTCACTCTCCTCCCAGCCCTCTGTGGGTTGGTTTGCTTTTAATGTTTGAGCTGAAACTATGAACTATCGAGAAACTATGTTGGAACTCTAAAGAAGAGACGAGGAGGAAGAAAGAAAACCATTGTAAGAAGTCTTGACTTTGGAGGATAGAAAGCCACTGGCCAGCCGAGAACAAAAGGAAAGTTCACTCCCCTTCACCTTGTCTGTTTGGGTTCCTTCTGCTTCACTTTTTTCCTTCCCTTTCAAAGTAGTATATCTGGTGGGTTTGTCTGTCTATCCTTGTCCTGTGGTGATCCTGGCATGGTGATGTGCTCTGCTTTGCATTATCTGTGGCCTCTCACCAGCACACAAGTCAGTGGGGAGGATGTGAACGTGGCCAGGACAAGGAAGCTTGTGCTGTGTGCACCTCCCCTTGAACTGTCCATGGTGTGTTCTGTTTGTCACCATGTTTGCTGTGAGTGAGAGCAAACCTAGGTGTCAGCTCTATTGTACTCCCTCTACTGGTTCTGCCCCCTTCCCACCAACCAGGGCTCATGTCAGTGCACGCCTACTGTGCCCTGGTGAATGAAGCTGGTGCTGAGTGATGTTTCCCATACAACTTAGGGGTGCCAGGTAACTTACCCTGGCACCTAACAGTGTAGGAATGAAAAATGGATTCCATGGATATTCAGATCTCTGTCAACTTCATTTTTTGTTAATGTTTCCCCTGATGACTTTTTAGCAACTTAACAAATAAAACAAAATGGACCGAATTGTCTTAGCTGTTTTATTAGTACAGGGAAGAAAAGAATCACTGAGACACAGAATAGTTGTAGAGATGGTCCTCTCCTCTTAGATGGTCGTGTTTGTTGGGAGAGTAAAAGCAGCCCTTTCCTGGGACAAACTTCAGCTGTTTTCATCATGCATGAGGAGCAGATCCTCAGTGCCACCCGGTGATGAACCCAAGGGAATAATGAGCTTGGAGCAGAGCCCCAAGAGCCAGAACATCTGCACCTTCTCTGGCCACCTAAGCAAAGATGAGGACACAGGGCACAGATCTTAAAGCAGCCTGCTTCCCTTGAGGCTTAATCCTGTCTCCCCTGTTTACTACTTCCCCCAATAAACATATAGGTAGTAGCTTCTACCCTATAAATGAAGAGGACTAACAGAGTTATATATGCAGTATGCTAGCAAGGTGCCTGGAGCTACCTAGGGTCCAGTCAGGACAGGAGGTGTCACCTCAAAACCCCACAGGCTGGTCTGGGCATAGTGCTGTCACACATAACTGGAGCTTATCTTTGCTTCTCTGAGCCTCTTCACCTCCTTCCAGGCAGGAGACAACATCCCCAGCTAGAGTCTGTCTTCTGCTGTCAGTAACCATTATTGGGCTAGGGATGTAGCTCAGTGGTAGCATGCGCAAGGCCCTGGGTTCAATCCCCAGCGCTGCCAAAAAAAAAAAAAAAAAGCAGTTGCAGTTTCAGTTTGGCACATAAGTAATCCCAGGTACTTGGGAGGTGAAGGGAGGAATATCAAGAATTAGAGGCCAGGCCCAGCAAAGGTATTGATGAAACCCTGTATCAAAACAAAAGGAGGGTGGAGGTGTGGATTAAGCAGTAGAGGGCCTGCCTCACAAGCTCAGAGACATGAGTTCAAACCCAGTACTGGGGACAAAAGAATGAAATCTATGTATGCTTTCAACATCACTGAATTCAGAAGGGACTTAAAAGGAGGCAACAGAACAGGGACAGTATGAACTTTGGACCAGGACATACCAAAGGTGTCACTGTCACTTTGAGCTGGGGCAAGTCATTCCATCTCTGAGCATCAACTTTATGAGTAAAATAGCATGATGACACCAGCCTCACTAGCACTTCACCTAGAACCCGCTAAGAATTTTCTTTGAATGGCTGTGGTACCCCCAAAAGGCCACCAGGGGGCACCCTGTGAAAGGCTTTAAGTGCACCTGGGCACTATCAGACAGTGAAGGAAACTGAATGGGCAGGAGGAGAAAATGGCTTGTTCATTGCTCTCCTATCTTTATCAGGAAAGCCTGGATGGCTCTCCCTCCCTGGCATCTATCTCACTTTGAAGCACCATCCTCAGCCAGGGTGCTTTCTCTGCCCCAGCCCCCAGCTGTGGGAAAAGTTGCTGTCTTCCCCCATGAGGCTGGGCACTGGGCCCAGATGCTGTGGCATGCACAAAGCCAGGCTAATGTCTCAAGTAAATGCCTAAAAATCCTAGTTTGCACCCCTCCCCAGCCTGTCTTCTCACTCAGTGTAGGGAAGAGAAGGAGGGCTGTGCTAGGAGCAAAGGCCAGGGAGGTCCATGGGAAGCCTGGAACTGACCCAGGGGTTAGTCGTTTTTAGCAAACTTCCCTGAGCAGCTGGGATACATAGTTGACTGAAAAGAGGCCCACCCTTGGAGGAGCTCACAACCTAATCATAAACCACATTGGCTGAACAAAGGTGACAGATCCCGAGCTTCTGAGGTCAAAAGACACAGGTAAGACACCAAAAAACATCTGCAACTAACACAGCCAGCCAGGGCAGAAGGGCTATTGGGGAAGCCAGAGAGCTAGGAAGTTATTCTTTCCTTTGGTGTCTTAGTCCATTTTGCTGCTATAACAAAGTACTGGACTGGGTAATATTTATTTTTGGTGGTGCTGGGGTTTGAACTCAGGGCCTTCTTCTTGCTGGGCAAGCACTCTACAACTTGAGTCACACCTCCAGCCCTTTTTACTTTAATTATAGATAAGATCTGCTGCTTTTTGCCTAGGATCAAGCCTCATACCTTATGCCTCTAAAGTAACGGGGATTGCAGGAATACATCATGATGCCTGGCATATTTGTTGAGATGGGGATCTAACTTTTTTGCCCAAATTGATCCTCCCGTTCTCCACCTCACTTGTAGCTGGGATTACAGTGCTGGGGATAGAACCCAGAGCCTTGAGCATGCTTCAGCTCAACCACTCAACTGCTGAGCCACACCCCCAGTCCCAGCTGGGTAACTCGTAAACAACAGAAAGTTATTTTCTTACAGTTCTGCAGATTGGGAAGTCCAAGATCAAGACACGGCAAATACCTCATGACAGCCCAGTGTCACTCTAAGATGGTGCATTGTTACTGTACCATCAAAAATGTATGTCCTCATAAGCGGAAGGACAAATTTACTCCCTCCAGCCCTTTTATTTTGTTAGTGGTGGAGGTGGGGATTGCACCCAGGACCTCTCCCATGGTAGGCAAGTGCTCTTATCAATGAGCTACACCCCCCCAACCCTCCCCCTCCCCCTTCCCCCCCCCTGCCCGAGCCCTTTTATAAAGTTGCTAATCCCATTCATAAGGGCTCTGCCTTCACACCATAGTCACCTCCTAAGGTCCCACCTCTTCACACTATCACATTGGAAATTAAGATGGGTTTTTTGTTTGTTTTATATTTGCGGTACTGGGGTTTGAGCTCAGGGCCTACACCTTGAGCCACTCCACCAGCCTTTTTTATGATGATTTGTTGTGGGTTTTTTTTGTTTTGTTTTGTTTTTTGAGACAGGTTCTCCAGAACTGTTTGCCTGGTGCTGGCTTCAAACAGTGATCCTCCTGATCTCTGCCTCCTGAGTAGCTAGGATTATAGGCATGAGCCACCGGCACCCAGCTGGCAATTAAGTTTGAGCCCATGATGTTGGGGGACACTCATTCCATAGCACTTAGCACTGTGGTGGGAACATACAAGGATGGAGACTGGAGATTCCTATGTGCAGGATGGAGATCTGAGCCTCAGTGCAAACAGTACTGCAGCGGGATAAGAGGCCGCAGGGCTTCCACAGGAGGGACAGACCCCATGTGCCAGGCAGGGTGCCTAGAGCAGGCAGTGGTGGGGACTGAGGCCAGTGAAGAGTGAGCTGTGGACTTGATGGTGAGGCGTCATGCCCTCAGGTGTGGTAGGGGAAGAAGCTTATGAGCAGACTTCACAGCGGGAGGAGACAGTTACAGAGACCAACATGGCTAGCTGGGTAGAGTCTCACTGGAGCAGAAGGCCTAGTATCCCTCTCTAGCCATGCCTCCCTGGAATTTGGGTAAGCCTTCTCACACCAAACATGACCCCCAGGGCTGGAGGAGGGGAAGATGAGAAGAAATTTGGAGTGTTGATAATGTAGAGAGTGAGAAATAGCTGAACTTAAATTTCAGCATTTCTGAAATCACTGAAGTAAAAAGCCTGCATCAGAGAAGCTTGGGAGATGGGTTGAGTCAGAGAAGATGAAATGTTTTCAGTGTCTGAAGTTCTGGGTTTTGTTTTGTTTTGTTTTGTTGGACTGGGGTTTGAACTCAAGGCTTACCCTTGCAAAGCAGGAGCTCTTCCACTTGAGCCACTCCACCAGTCCCTGGTCTGGTTCTTTTGGAGATGGGGTCTCATGAACTGTTTGCCCAGAATGACCTCGAACCACGATCCTCCTGATCTCAGCCTCCCAAGTAGTTAAGATTACAGGAATGAGCCACCACTGCCTGACTTGAAGTTCTGTTCCTTAAACATCTGAGTCTCTGATGAAAAATGTGTACTTTAAGTACTAACATTAGGAGAGAAGTCAGGACACCGCAAAAGAAGCAAGGAAGAGAATCTCGTAGCTTCTCATGTCTGGTGGATCTGGGGGTAGAGGCAGAGGTGTCTGGAACAAAGCACCCATCCGTGTTCACAAACACAGGGTCCCTACTGTTTGCCAGGCTTTACCCCTGCCCTGCAGACTACATTTTAGCATGGAGGTGGCGGAGAAGGGACAGAGAGTGTGTAAACGGGCAAGATGATCCCAGATGGTGATGGAATGGGACTGTGATGGAGTCAGGCTCATTCAGAACATGAGAAGCCCACCATGGGAAGATGTGGGAGGAAGAGCATTCCATGCAGGGGGAAGACAAGAACAAAGACCTTGGGGTGGGGATGAACTTGACACATTCAAGGAGAAGTGAAAAAGCCAGTGTGGCTGATGAATGTGAGGGGAGGGTGGGCAGGTGGGCCCTGTAGGCCCTGGTGAGAGAGGATGTTGTTTCTGGTGCAGTGAGAATCCATTTGAGGGTTTGTTTGTTTATTTTTAATTTTTTATGGTACTTGGATTTGACCTCTGGGTCTTGCACTTTCTAAGCAGGCGCTCTATCACCTGAGCCACACCCCCAGCCCTTTTTGCTTTGGTTTTTTTGAGGTAGGGTCTTGTGTTTATGCACTGGCCAACTTGGATGGTGATCCTTGTAGATCCTGGTGATCCTTCTAGATCCTTCTGTTTATGCTTCCTACATAGCTAACCACCACACTCAACTTTTTATTGATTGAGATAGGGTTTCATGGCCCAGGTGCCAGTGGCTCACGCCTGTAATCCTACCTACTCAGGAGGCAGAGATCAGGAGGATCATGGTTTGAACTATTTGCCAGTCTGGGCAAATAGTTCGCATGATCCTATGTTGAAAAACCCATCACAAAAAGGGCTGGCGGAGTGGCTCAAGGTGAAGGCTCTGAGTTCAAGCCCCAATACTGAAAAAAAAAAAAGTTTTATGAACTTTTTGCCTGGGCTGGTCTTGAGCATCAATCCTTCAGATGTCTGCCTCTCAAATAAGTGGAATCACAAAGGGCACCCTGCCCTTTTGAGGGTTTGTTTTTTTGTTGTTGTTGTTCTCAGGACCTCATGCTTGCTAGGCAGACACTCTACCACTTGATCCACTCCACCATCCTGTTTTGTCAAGATAGGGTCGCTCAAACCATTTGTCCTGGCTGGCTTCAAATCGTGATCCTCCTGGTCTCTGCCTCCTGAGTAGCTAGGATTACAGGTGTAAGCCACTGGCATCTGGCCTTTTGAGAGTTTTAAGCCCAAGAGTAACACATGGTGCTGCCCAAGTTAAGGACAAACAACAGTGTCCACTCTCAGTGTTCAGCTCACCTGGCACCAAGTGTCATTTCCACCATCACTACCCTCTTCTTGGAGGCTCTCCAGAAGGAACTCTGCTACATCAGCTCTGGCCTCTGGCTACTTCATTTCAGCCAATTTCGGGTTTCTCTGCCTCTCCTAGGCCCGGGGTACAAGCTTAGCATCGAGTCCTCCGTTCTCTGTCCACCTGTACCCCGCGAGATCTCATCTGCCCATGCCCATTGCTTTAGAGTTGTTCATGTGTGGCTGGTAGCACCCAACTCTGCCCAGATAAGTCACTCGGAGCACCCCATCATCTGCTGTGTCCCTCCAGGTAGCCTTACCCAGCCCTTGCTCTTCTAGGGCTCTTCCTCTGACCCTCTGGTCTGCTCCCTCCCTCCCAGTTAGGGGGACCACCATCTGTTCAGTCGCCTGGGAGTTGTTCCCATGACAGGTTGGTGCTCTTGACTGACCAGCTGTGGCTCCAGCTTTGAGAATGGCCTGAAGATGGTGGCTGGTAGAAGGACCAGCTAGGAGGCGGAGTGAGCGGTCCAGGCAGGAGTGGATTAGGACTTGTGTCTGTTGAATATTTGTGTGCACACCCCATGCCAGGCCATAGTAAGGAGTACATGTCATTCTAGGTGTTATGGGAAGCCAGTAGAGCTCAGGTCTGTGTGTGTCTGACCACCTGGTCCTCCCATCCAGTCCTTCAGACTGCCTTGAAGAATCCTCCTTTCAAGGCCTATGGGGACTGTGTGCACAGATACCTAGCTAATACTTGTTTGGAGATCAAATCATGAAGAAATGAGTGAATGGATAACCAGAAGACTATTCTAGAAGGGTCCTTAGGGAGATGATCCACCTGCTTCACCTGGAGCCCTATAAGGAGAAGCGACTTGCTTAGGGGAATACACCCACTAGACCAAGATGGTCCCCAAGAATCCTTCTGTATAGCTGGCCTTGTCACTCCCAGGCCCCAGCCATTGGCTGGCTCGATCTCCAGTAGCAGTGTTTAGCCAAATGAGGTCTCTCAGACCTGGTCTGGTCTGAATTGTGCCCCCAGAAAAATCCCTGTGTTGAAGCCCTAACCCCACTGGGATTGTATTTGGAGATATATCCTTTAAGGAGATAATTATGGTTAAATGAGATCATAATGGTGGGGCCATAATCCAATAGGATTTGCAAAAAGTGGAAGATAGGGCTGGGGATGTAGTTTAAGTGGTAGAGCAGTTACCTAGCATGCTCAAGACCCTGGTGCATCCCAGCCAGAGCAAGCACAGAGAACAGGCCATGGAAAGATATAGCAAGAAGGCAGCCTCACGAAAGACCAATGCTGCCAGCACTTGATCTTGAACTCCAGTCACCAGAACTGAGAAAATTAATTTCTCTTGTTTAAGCCCTTCAGGCTATGTGCTCTGTCACAACAGCCCAGGGTGACTAATGTAGACCCCAGTTTCAGAACTGCCCAGTGCTCTAGTTAAATGTTCAGATTTGCAGGCACCCCTCAGCCCTTAAGCTGAGCCTTTGGGGACCAGAGGCCCAGAATCCAGGTGAGATTGAGGCTGTTAACTGTCCCTTCCATGAACTCACTGAGGGTCAGTGAGAACTGAACTAAACCTCTGGCCACTAGCTTCCCTGACCAACAGGCTCCCTCTCTGTGCTGGAGGGATTTGCCATCATATCTAGCCTCCTAGTTAACTGGCAAACTCACTCTGTCAAGGTACTTTGTTTTCTCACACCCTCACTGAGTCCCCCACAAGCCAAGCCAGGGAAGGGTTGGACATAAAATCTGCAAGCCCAAATATAATTCCATCTGAGCACTGCTATTGAGGCACTCCTGGTCCACAGAGAGCGTGTGAATAACCCTGTCTGGCAGATGTAACAGCTGTAAGAAAGGGAGGCATATGGACAAGGGATTGTAGCCACAGAATCCTGCAGGAATGGTTGTTCATGTGTTTTTGCCCAGCTGCAGCATAAGCAAGTTTCAGGGAAGCCCTCCATCTTACATATCTCCATCCCTTCCCTACTCACCCCCCTAGGAACATAATGAGCCTCAACCAATTGTGGGTTTGTGGCTTCCCGGCTGCTTTTCACTTCACTGGGAACAGCTCTCCTAGGGGCTGCTGATGACGTTTTAAAAACAAAACCCAATCAGGCAGAATAGATAAGTACTTTAGATAAATACCCAGGTAACCTGGGTTCTGATAGTTTTCCACTGACCAGCCCTGTGGGTGACAAATCATATTACCTCTCTGAGTTTCTTCCTCTTAAGAGAAAAGGAGATTATATTATTTACATGGAATTTATAGACTTTAATGCAGTAGCCTCTGCAAAGGCCTTGCAAAACAGTGGCTGGCCTTGCTTGAAAGCACTGCGTGAAGACAGTGGTGAAAATTAAGTACAATAGGTTCCTCTCAGTAATGGCCACCTGTCCAGCTCATGGGAACAGTGGAGAGGAGCTCACAGTCCCAGGGCTGGAAAATCCACTCCAGGAGGGCAGGAATTCCTGTTTGCCCGTGTGTTTCCAGTACCTGGACCAGATACACAGTTGGTGCTCAGTAATTGTTGAATGAAAGGAATGAATAAACCAATTAATAAATGACATGCCAGAGGCTTCTGACTCATTTTTAAGACTCTTTGAGCAGCTGTTTCCCCATCTGTGAAGCCAGAGGTGTTTCACTCCCTCGAGCTCCTGCCGAGCAGGATTAATAAATCAGTAATATTAATGATAGCAATAGCAACAACTAAACTCAATGACCACTGCTAGGGACCGGGCACTGTTGCAAAGGACACTGCGAGGTTAAAAAGCATTTTACATCCACTTTATAGAAGAGGAAACTGAGCTGTGGGGAGGGACCTGATCAGGCTTGAGAGGAAGTCTGGACTTGCACGGAGTAGTGAAGAGAGAGTGGGCTCTACCCGCGTGCTATTGCTTTGTGCAAACTGCAGACGTTTGTAGGAGCGACGAGCACCGCCACGCAAGCAGTAGCCGAACCGCCCCCTACATCTCCATGGCAACAGGCTCTGCACATGCGCCTCGGGCACCGGCGCCGGGGCTGGCGGCGCGCTCCGAAGCCGGACGCAGGCCGGGCGGAAGCAGGCCAAGCCCGCTGGGCCTCGGGAGCGCCGGGCAGGCCTTTAGAGGGATTTGTCTCTCTCGAGCCCGCGGGGCCGGCGGGGACTCCTCTGACTGTGAAGGTTATGTGGCCCCGGGAGTCGGGATCCAGGAGGCAGAGGACAAGCAGGGCTGTGTGATTGGGGCAGAAGGGTTGTAGAAACACTCCGGGGTATAAGCAGGAGCGATGTGGAGCAGAGGGCTATGGGGTTTCATCGTCCGGGTGGGGAGCCGGGGCTCCACGGGAGAATCCGAGGGAGTTTAAGAGAGAGCACAGATCCGCTGGGGATAGGTACCCCTTCCCCTACTCCTACTCAGCCTTGTGCCGCCCCTTTACACCTTGTTGCACGCACAGCCATGGCCAGACCTCCTGCGCACGGTTCGGTGATTGTCCCAGACTGGCACGAGACTGCGGAGGGCAAGGAGTACTTGGCCTGCATTCTACGCAAGAACCGTCGGCGGGTGTTTGGTAAGGGTCTTCCCCCCCAGCCTGTCTCCTTTCACCCACTAGGGAGGACAGTGTCACCTGTTGCTCAAGGGTGGGAGGCACAGAAGCAGGGTGGTGAGGCCAGCTTCACTGCACCCCTCAGCCCTGGGGACTCCTGGAAGCCTTATTCCTAAGCCCCTCGCCCACAAATCCCTTTAGAGCTTACTCTACCAACAGAACCAAGAACTTGGAAACAGCAGAAACTTTGCTAGCCATCACTGTCACCAGAGATGCTGTTGATGGAGCCCTCGCTTGGTGCCGTGCCCTCTACGGAACACGACACCATGAACTCCCGTTTAACCTCAACAGCACTTTTTTTTTTATTATTATTATTTTTTAGCGGTACTGGGGCTTGAACTCAGAGCCTGCACGTTGAGCCACTCCACCAGCCCTTTTTTACGATTTTTTTTTTTTTTTTCCGAGATAGTGTCTCATGAACTATTTGCCTGGGGCTGGCTTTGAAGAGCAATCTGCCTGATCTCTGCCCCCTGAGTAGCTAGGATTTGCAGATGTAAACCACCAGTGCCCAACAAGACTTTATCTGTTTAAAAAAAAAAAAAAAAGGAATTATTTACAGACCCTGGTTGCATTATTAGTAACAAATGACTCTAGTCTGTATATGTTAGATACCAACAGGAGGCTCCTAAGACTCTGCAGGATCCATCCTCCATGCATTGTTTGGAAACAATGATAGTTTCCATCCAAGATCTCAGAGGATGGTAGTTCTGAAATACTTAGTTCCTTGCTACTCACAGCATGGTCCATGACCCATCAGCAGTGGTGCTCCTGGGAGCTTGTTAGAAATGCAAAATTTTGCTGCCCAGACCTATTGCATTAGAATCTGCATTTTAACAGGATCCCAGGTGAGAGGCTTTGTCTAGAGCCCTGGGCTCTAGGAGCTGGGTCTTGGAATACTCAAATAAGCACCCCCCTCCACTTTTTTAAGTTTGCTGCAAAAGATGATTTTTTTATTATTATGACATATTCTGGATTTCCCACCTGTAACAGCATGGCTTTTTACAATTCCTTCTTTTATAAGGAAATATAAGCAAATGTATTTCCAATTACTACAAATATATCCATAAAAACAATATATTGAAATCTTTATGATACAGCTATAGTCTAACACCTGAAGGTACTAAGCTGTGAGCTGCCCTTCATTCTTTGATCTTAAGCCTGCTAGTGCTTCATCTCTCCTGGCTGTAGTTGGATTCTCGAAGCTGGTGCCAGGCCCCTTAGCCTTGCCTTCATGAGCTAGCACAGTCTGGGGAACACCAGATGACAGGATACGGAGGAGGCTGGCCTCCACTAGAGCATGATCCTGACCAAGTCAGTTAAATGTGGCTTTCAGCTGGGCATTGGTGGCTCACAGCTGTAATCCTAGCTACTCAGGAGGCAGAGATCAGGCAGATCATGGTTCAAAGCCCAGTTCAAACCTCAGTAAAGACCAAAAAAAGAAAAAAAAAAAAGTTAAAGCAGATTTGAAATATGATTCTCTAATATGGCCATCCCACGATAGCTGGGAACACTGCATTTCAGGTCACCCAGACCCAGGTTTGACCCGGGCTCTACCACTGCCTAGTTGTGTGATGTGTGATCATGAATAACACTAGCCTTGGGCTCCTCCCCTGTGAAATGGGGAGGATCTTCATCTCTGCTTGATAGAGGTGCTGGGGAAAGGAATCAAGAGCGTGTATGTAGTATGCTGAGCAGAGGGTGTTTACTGAGGTTTGGTTCTTATTATGTTGCCAGTTGTATTGAGAGGAAAAGAGTTGAGGGAAGACAGAGCCAATTTCCTGGGAATTACATAGAGCCATTGGCCTTATTAACTATGTCACAGTCAGTATCAAGAAGCCAGAACTCAGCAGAATAGCAGGGACAACTTGGAATTTGTGTCCTATTTTACTTACCAGCAGGTATTTTGGGAGTTAACAGCTAGCTGTGCCCATAGGAATGTGTCATCTAGGTCCCCACCCAAGGCCAAGAGCAGCTGGTAAGTATCAACACACTAACTATAAAGACTTAGATCATCTGTGTGTCCCAGGCCTCTGTAAAATTGGAACAAGTATTGAGAAGCACAGATGGTTGGTTAGCCCTGAGGAAGCCCTTAGAGATGAGGCTGTGATCCCAGGTCTGATAGAACAAGTGCAGGATCAACTCCCTGACTCATCTGGCTCCCTCTTACCCCAGGGCTGCTCGAGCGTCCTGTGCTGCCCCCACCTGTGGCCATTGACACTGCCAGCTACAAGATTTTTGTGTCCGGAAAGAGTGGTGTGGGCAAGACAGCACTGGTGGCCAAGTTGGCCGGCCTGGAGGTGCCTGTGGTTCACCATGAGACCACCGGTGAGTGGGCCTTGTCCTCTGCTCGTCCTTGGAGGCCTTTCCTGGGTGGAAGAAAAACCTGGTCCTGAACCCACAGCGGGGCTTTTACCCAGCTCCACTACTTTCTTGTGATCTAGGCAAGTCACATCTCTCCTAGCTCACATTGGCTCCCCTGTCCCAAAGGGATAATAGTACAAACCCCATGGGAATGTCGTGGGGTTGGTACTGGAAACAACGGTGGCCACCAAGGCCTAGTGCCAAGCTGGCACTGATGGTGCTCAGGAAATGCTAATCTTCCTGTCTTAGGGCTTTCCACAAGCCCCAGTATCCCAGGCCCTTTGGGTTTCCCTGTACAGGCAGTGAAACTGCTCTGTCATGACAAGGGTTGCATCTACCTGTGTACCGGGGCTCCTCCAGGGCAGGTCTGTTTCCCTATGAGACAGAATTCTCCCAGCTCAGGGACTGTGCCTTCCTCATTAGTGACCTGGTGACCTGCCAGGCTGGGGAAGTATCTCTCCTTTTTGTTCCTTGTCCCCCCAGTCCCCTCTACCATCACTTGTCCCATGCTGAATGGCTGACCTCACGCACGCCCTCTTCAGGCATCCAGACCACGGTGGTATTTTGGCCGGCCAAGCTGCAGGCCAGTGAACGTGTTGTCATGTTCCGCTTTGAGTTCTGGGACTGTGGGGAGTCTGCGCTCAAAAAGTTCGATCACATGTTGCCGGTGAGCAGGCAGGTGGGCCTGGGTGGGCTGTGGGAGCAAGGGTGGTTGTTTGAGGTGAGTTTTGAGTACACTGTGTCTGCAGGAGCCTAAGTTGGGCATGAATAAGCTGAGGATAGTGTGCTGGGCGGAAGAACTCTGAACTGGCACTGGGGCCTGGGTCCCGGCTGCAGCTCTGCCCTAGGACCAGCTACTCCCTGCTCTGAGCCTCAGTTTCCAAATCTGTGAAAGGAGAGATTGTTACTGATTGTTGTCAGGGTGCTGCAGTTTAATTAGAGAGGTCTGGTCCCATGGGTATGTGATTACATGGTCACGTATTCATGTGTCCTGAGCCAGTGTCTCCATCCTCAGGCTTGCAAAGAAACACGGATGCCTTCCTCTTCCTCTTCTCCTTCACGGACCGTGCCTCTTTTGAAGACCTGCCTGGACAGCTGGCCCGCATAGCAGGTGAGGCACCTGGTGTTGTCAGGATGGTCATTGGCTCCAAGTATCCTTTGGAACGTCCCTGGGACTATCAGAGCCAACCCTTGATAAGCCAGAACAAGGGTCAGAGCCCCTGCCTCTACTCAGCTGTGAGGTACAGCCCATGGGCTCTTCCTTTCCCTCCCTCCCTCCCTTTCTCCCTTCCTCTCTGCCTTCTTTTTTGGCAGTACCAGTGTTTGAACTTAAGGCCTTGCACTTGCCAGGCAGGCGCCCTACCACTTGAGCCGCACCTCAGCCCTTTTTGCTAGGTAGTTTTCAAATAGGGTCTTGAATTTATGCCTGGACTAGCGTGGACCATGATCCTACTATTTAAACTTAGCTGAGACGAAAGCACTTGCCACCATGCCCAGCTTATGTTTATTGAGATGGCATCTTGCAGACTTACCCAGGCAAATCCTCTGCTTCTCAAGTAGCTAGGAGTACAGACGTGAGCCACTTTTTTAAAAAATTATTTATTTATTTATTTTTGTGGTACTGGGGTTTGAACTTAGAGCCTACGCCTTGAGCCACTACACCAGTCCTATTTTTGTGATGAGTTTTTTCAAGATAGGGTCTCTTGAACTGTCTGTCCAGGCTGGCTTCAAACTGCAGTTCTCCTGAACTCTGCCTCCTGAGTAGCTAGGATTACAGGCATGAGCCACCAGCACTGACTTGAGCCACTTTTTAAATGGTGCCTTAGGGCCTGCCCCAGTCCATGGGGTAGGACAAAGGCTGAGGTCAAAGGTGGGTGGTGAGCAGAAATGGATGGCCAAGCTCCTTGACCTTCCTCCAGATTTGACCAGTACATGCACACAGACGTGCCTGAGAGAGACCTCAAAGCCTTCCGGCAGGCCTGGGATCTGCCCCTACTGCGGGTGAAGAGTGTGCCAGGGCGGCGGCTGGCTGATGGGCGCACACTGGATGGGAGGGCTGGGCTGGCCGACGTTGCCCATGTACTCAATGGCCTTGCTGAGCAGCTATGGCACCAGGACCAGGTGACAGCCGGCCTGCTTCCCAACCCCTCAGAGAATGCCCCTGCCTAAGGGGTGATGGTATCATGAACAGGCACCTGTGATCCCCACCCTTAGTCCTCAGGTGACCCAGGACAGAGGGCAGGACCTAGGGTCTAAGGTTGAGGCAGGAATGCTGACCCCACCCTGAGGGCCTGCGAGGAGGTCCCCACCCCACAGGACTTTTCCTTGCAGAAAACATGGCAGAGGGGGCGGGGCACAAGACTCCAGAGCAAGGCCCCAGGGCTCTAGCACCTCTGACCTCCCACTGCCCTTCCTCTTCTGTGGTGCCCAGGATCATGGGAGTTGGGGGGATCAGTAGGTCCCTGGACTTCACTTGACTTCAACCAGAAGCCTCACTGGATGAGGCAACATTAGCTGCTGTAACAGATAAAGCTGTGAAATCTCAAAGCCAACTCTGTAGCAGTGTTTTTTCTGGCTTAGGTCTCACCTCTGAGTGGCCTGCTCCATGCACCCACTCAGAGACCCAGGCCTGAGATCCTCCGGGTTGGCCCCAGGCATCGACATGCAGTCCACAGACAGCACATGGGTGCATATGAAAGGTCTCCTGGGAGGTTCCTGTGGACAACTTCCATTGACCCAGCACCTAGTCACGTGGTCATGTGGCGCTGAGGGGAAGACTGGGAGATGCAGTCCACCTGTGTGTGCAGGAGGTCATTTGCCAATGCCTTACTTGATCATGAAGCTACCATCCAGCTCAGCCAAGTATAGAGTGACCTCTGTAGCTAGGGGAGTCCCTTCTTGAGAAGGCAACCCTGGTGGCTCACGTGACCACAAGCTCAAATGCACCAGCACTCCCTTCTAAGACCTCCCCCACTCCTACTTCCTGGCATTCATGAATGGCTCACATCATTCCCAGATGCATGCTCACGCATCCAGGCTCCCACGGGCGCACCTGATGCTGTGCACACTGCCAGGCTGTGCACCCTGGGTACTTCCCCCAGGTTCCGGACCAAAGATTTCGATGATTTCAATGCCTCCTGATACCCAGCTGAGGCTCAGAGCACAGACCCTGAGTTTACCCGATACCCTAAGAAGGTATGTGCTTAAGTAGAGCTCTGAGCCTCAGCCCACAGGCTAGCTCCTCCTCCTGACCATGGGCCCTCCCTCTGCAGTCCTCTGCCGGCAACCTTGCTTCCAGCAGATGAGGCCTTTCCCTCTGTCCCTAATCTAGTAAGTAGACCCTACCCCACCTGAGCAGCACAGTGTGAGCAGGAACCAGTGACAGCAGTCCTGAAGGCACTGTGTTTTGAGCACTGTGTCCCCTAGCTATCTCTGGCCTTACCACTTCCCTGGGCACCAGTGCTGTCAAGAGCTACAGTGATGACCCAAATCCTCCTGCTGCAGGAGTAGCCGCCCTTCAGGTTTCTTTTTTTTTTTAACAGTACTGGGGTTTGAACCCAGGGCCTTGGGCTTGCTAGGCTGGTGCTCTACCACTTGAGCCATTCAGCCAGCCCATCTCTTCAGGTTTCTTGTGGTTTAGCACTGGCTCTGGTCAGAGAATTGAACCCTCAAGCCACCTTCACCCCAAACCAAGAGGTGCACAATTCTTTCTGCGTCTCCATGAGGAAGAACAAAGTGGGGAGGCGCAATGGCCTAGGCTTAGAGCACCCCCACCATCCAGGGCTACCTCTCAGTTACTCCAGGCCTGGCCCTAGTGCCACTTCAGTACTTAGTGGCAATTCCCCACTCCCAGGGGCCTCTACTGAAGTGCAGAACTGGGAGCAGGCAAAGGAGGAAAAGGAGGAGGTCTTTCTGTTAGTAGAGGGCAGAGCCCCTGAGAAGGCTCTGGACGGGCCCTGTGGAGGGGCAGAAAAGAGACTGCAGGGCCCTGCCACCTGTGCCCCCACAGAGACCCAGTTTAATGCTCTGCTCCTGTCTTGATAGCTGTAGTTTGTGAACAAAGCCTTCCTTTCATTTTGTACAGAAATTATGTAGCAAGTCCTGTTGCGGGGGAGGGGGTGCAGGGAGGGGGTCCAGAGCAGGAGTTGGCTGTGGGTGAAGCTTCTCTTCTCAGAACTCTGGAGACTGGCCACCTCTGTGCAGCATCAAAAGGCCACCAGGAAACCAAGAAGTCACCTTCTCTTTTGGTGCCAGAAATCCTGCCATTAGTTTAAGTCCCACAACAACAGCTCAAAGGCAAATATCAGAGCCAGTGCTGGTGGTGATGGGAGGATGCAGTTCAAAGCCAGCCCAGGCAAGTTCGTGAGACTCCATCTCCAAAATAACCAGAGCAAAATGTGTTGGAGGTGTGGTTCAAACTATAGAGTGCCTGCTTTGCAAGCAGAAAGCCCTGAGTTCAAATCTAAGTCCCACCAAAAAAAAAAAAAAGGCAAACATCACTTTGGAGCATTCTGCCCCTTCCTGGGCCCTGAGGCGCCCTGGAAGTAAAGACTGGTGATTATACCCCTGGCTGGTTCAGGGGTAGACCTGACTTAGAGGTGAGGGGACAGCTGGGAAAAAGGTAGCCATAGTAGCTCTTCTCCCTCATATCCTGGGCTCTGGAGGGAGCCAGTAGGAGTAGGGACTGACTCCACCTGGGGTGGGAGTGGGATGTATATGTGCAACTGGGCCCAGCCCTGATGTTTGTCTGAGTCACGACTTCCCAACCTCCTTCCCTCCCCTCCGAATATCCTAAGGATGAGGAGGCTGAAGCCCAGAGAGGGACAGACATTCACCCAAGATTGCAGAGCTAGGAACAGCCCTAATACTCCCAGCTTTCTGCACCCCCTCCCTTAAACCGTCTTTCCCTCTCTACTGTCCTAATGCTGCCTTCTGGGTCGGGCCTCTCACAGGCTCCCCCGGTCCACCTGCTTTTCCTACCAGAAGCCTGGAGCTGCTTGTAGGAGAAACACGATGCTGGTGCCTGCCTCCCTCCCTTCCTTTCCTTCCCTCACAGGCTACACACACACACACACACACACATACACACACACACACACACACACACACATTGACACAGGGGCCTCGAGTGAGTCCTGGGTGTGGATGAAGCTTTCTGATCAGGCCCTAGAGCTCCTTACTCCCTGGGCATCCTAGTGCCAGCTGGAACCTCTACATACCAGGCCCAGACTAGAGGAGGGAGGTATGTGCCCAGACGGGGACAGGGGACAGGGTCCCGAACAGTTTGGAGTTATGTAGAGGGATTTGCCTCCACATAGCAGGCAAATCCCTCTAGTGGGCTGGACTAGGGAGTGAGTGTGGGGAATGGGGGAAGTGCTTAATTCTATTCTAGAAATACTGAGCAAAGGGAAGAGATTGAAGCTTGCTTTAGGGGAAGATGAAGAACTGAGTGACCTTAGACTATCCCTGAAATCTCCTGTGTTCCACTGGCACTTTGTGCAGAGAACAGTATCACCCACTCCTCTGAGTTGTGAGAAGTAATTGTGTGTTAACGTTTAGCTCTGTGCAACCACTAAGTTGCACACAGTGATGGCCACTGCTTCATACTTGTGAGATTAGTGGTGGTTCTCGCACTTTCAGTGAGTAGAGAGGAGTGAAAAGGGTCACAGATCTGCAGGGTGTCTCATCATTTTGGGAAGAGGGTAGGAAAAGGAAGGGTGCCTGATTGGACTAATTAAGAAACTCTAGACCCCAAAAAAAGAAAAGAAAAAGAAGCTCCTGATAGGCTGGTGGAGTGGCTTAAGTGGTAGAGCACTTGCCTAGCAAGTTTGAGACACTGAGTTCAAACTCCAGTACCATAAAAAAACAAAACAAAGCAAAAAACAAGCTCCTGTCAGACAGCACAGTAATTACATTTTTGGGAGACTGAGATCAGGAGGATCACTGTTTAAGGCCAGCCCAGGCAAAGAGATAGAAAGACTCCTTTCAACAGAAAATCTGGGCACAGTACTACACATGGGTCATCCCAGCTATGGCTAGAAACTTAAATTAGGAGGATTGCATCTAGTCCTGGTGGGCAAAAAGTGAGACCCTATCTCCAAAGTATTCAGAGCAAAAAGAGCTGGTGACATTGCTCAAACGGTAGAGTTCCTGCCTCACAAACTCAAACCCTGAGTTCAAAGCCCAGTACCACCTAGGAAAAAAAATGATGAAGAATCTCTTGACACCTGCATCCAGTCTCCTCAGCCTCAGCCCCACGCCTGTTGTATGCAGGATAGGCAAGGACCAGGAGACTGGGCCAAGCAGGACTCTTGCCCCAACCTCTCCTGACAGACTTGATTAGCCCAGCCACTGTGCCTCCCTTAAAAGCCCTTTTCCCATAGCACCTCTTGTCCACTTTTGTTTTTCAGAGACTAGTTTTTATTGAACATGTTGCAAAGGGGTTTAGTCAAAATGACCAAAACCCACGACTCCATGGCTCCGTCAATTTTTTTTTTTTCGGTACTGCATTTTGAATTCAGAGCTTCATGCTTATTAAGCAGGTGCTCTACCACTTTGGGCCACTCCCCCAGCCCTTGTGTGTGTGTGTGTGTGTGTGTGTGTGTGTGTGTGTGTGTGTGTGTGTGTGTGTGTGTAGGTATTTTCTAGATACGGTCTCACAAAGTATTTGTCTGGGCTGGCCTTGATCTCTGTCTCTTCACGAGTAGCTAGGATTACAGGCGAGGCTTATTGTCCACTTCATGCAATGGGCAGTTTCCCCTTGAAAAGAGCGGAGCCCTAATTCCCCTCGCTGCAGCGCAATTTCGCTTCAATATTTTCCTTAGTGCACCGCCTCCCCCCTCTGCATGGAAGTGAGACAGGGTGCAGACGGTTCTGATCGGCTCCTCCCCCCACACCCCTCACCCTCCTCCCAACCTCCTCCATGGACCGACTGCTCCGCGAGCCGCGACCCCCACGACGCGGTAAGCTCCCGCGGAACCGCCGCCGCCTCAGTGGGGCTGCTTCTCCAAGAGGTGAGCGCGGCGGGGACGGCTGCACCCGCTGCGTCCCTGAGGCCGAGGCACAGTGCGCACTCTTCACCAGCTCTGTGACCTGCGCAGGCGACTCTGCACCTCTGCAGTGAAGTGCATTTGCCCCTGCTGACCGCCCCATAAAGCAGCTGTGATGGTTAAGTGAGCTCAGTGCAGAGGCGCTCAGCTCAGGGCCCGGCACGTTGGAAGTGCCATTGTATGGCGCCAGCCTGCTCAGCATGTCACCACGCTTGTAAAATGAGGGTCTTAGTTTCCCCCTCCCCAATAAATGCCTGTCAAAGCTCCTTTCAAGGCGGTGAGGACCCGCTCGCGAAATGAGATCAGTTACCCGGAGACCCCGGCTCCCCAGAGCGCAGCACCTCGGGGCGCAATTCCCGCGCGGTGCACTTAGCCGAACTGAGCGCACCTGGGAACAGTGGTTTTCTATGCGGAGGAACTGAGCCTGCGCACACTGCTGCAGAAGGGGGAGGCAGGGGCGGGGTCAGCCCAGGGGCGCAGTCTCCCCTGGCTTCGGC